GGCTGCTGGCAGGAGCCAATGGGGCTGTGCCAAAGTTGCTGACCCTAAGAGGAACAAGAGGCCTGGGGGATGTTACAACACTGTCAACTCACCCACAGAGCAACCAGCACCCCCCCACACTTGGGCCTGGGTGTGTGCTGTTGCTTCTCCCTATCACTTCCTCTCTCTGATTCCTTGTCTTTGTAAGCAGAACTCCTGCTCTCCATCCCGCTCCATCAAACCTTCAGTCCTATCTGACTCTTCAAAACCTCTTGTCCCCCAGACTGTACCTCTTTGTCTAACTCTGTTTATTCCATTTCTGTGGTTTGGGTAGAAGAGCGTGTTGGAGACAATTCCCAGGTTGTAATCTTAAGACCTGGGGACACATTTATTGAACTTCTATTTTGAGCCAGTCTCTTCTCCTCTCCTTCTTTGCTTGTTGGGCAAAATTATGAAACCTCACCTCTGAGTTTGTTATGAGCATTGCCAGTGCCAGAGACATGAAAGGCCTCAATCTGGTGTCATTTTCTTTCTTTTTTTATAAATATATATTACATTGATATCAGAGAGAAAGGGAGAGGTAGAGATAGAAACATCGATGATGAGAGAGAATCATTAGTCGGGTGCCTCCTGCAAGCCCCACACTAGGGATGGAGCCCACAGTCCAGGCATGTGCCCTGACCAGGAATCAAACATGACCTTCTGTTTCATAGGTCGACGCTCAACCACTGAGCCATGTGGGCCAGAAATCTGGTGTCATTTTCTGACCCGATGAAGGCATGTGTATGAGAAATGTGTGTTGGGAAGGGCTGTTTGGAAGTCACATGTGTGTCCCCCAAGCCTACCAGGTGAATCAGAAGCTGTAGTGCATCCTTGGTTGAATGGCAGATGAGCGCAGACAAAAGGATGCAGGGATGGTGGGCCTCAGCCTGGATCCTAGATTCAGCCCAAGTCAGGAGTGAAGGTGGAAATTTCATCAATGGGCTTATCCCTAAGCACTAAAGCACTTAGGGCACCTCTGACCTTGTGGGAGCCCTGGTTCCCATAAAGTTCCACAGGCACAAGTTGGGCAACCTCCAAGGTATAAGGGAGCTGAAGGGAACCACGCGTGTTTCACTTGCATTTATTGTTATTGATGCAACATTCAAATAACATACAATTAAGTCTTTTAAAATATAAAATTCACTAGAATGTAATAAATACACAATGTCTCAATGACAACAACTATCTAGTTTCAAGAAGTATTTATAGCCAACCCCCCAGAAAAACACCAAACAGTCCATCTCCTATCTGTCCTCCTGGTCAACCCCAGACAAACCAATCTGATTTCGGTTTCTATGGGTTTCCTTCTCC